GGGAGGGGTACTGGAGGCGGATATGGGGGTGTTGGTGGGGTTATTGGGGGGTTATGGACTCCCAGAAGAAGAAAAAAATGGTGCGCAATGACATAAGAGTATCAGAAGGCCGGCTTGCTAGTCGGGCATGTGCACCGTTTCAGATTGTGATACTGTTTAACATCGTCTTGTGTGAAATGTTTTCCCACACAACCTCAAATGGGATGGATGCCGTGTTGAGATAGTTTGGCGCTTAGCCTGCTCAAGATTGTTCAGTAGACATACTTGTTTGTTCTTCACCATCCTCCTAAACATTATGTGGTAAATTATGTCAATTGATTCGCGGAAGTTTACAGAACATGTCCGTACACGTGTGATCTGCAATGCCCCGAAACTCACTCACCTCATCGTGGAGTGTAGCCATGCGGTACCAGCTCTCATATCGCATCGGATGATAGCAAAGATCGTAATTAATCAGGTTGGAATTATGCTCCACAAATTCTTCCCCTTCTTTTGTCAATACAAATCCAGCCCACTGCACCGATGCCGACATCTCCTCCACTTGTGTCAGCAGATAGTACAAGTTGGAGTACACCTCCACGTAGGGCCCCTCGGTACGAGCAGTTCCTTGTCCATCTTCCTCCCCTGCCTTGGATTTTGCTCCTGTTTTCTCTTCCTGTTTGTTCAACACAGCCAACTCTTTGCACCCAGACGATTCACCCCTGTTGTTGGCATCTGCATCAAGCAGCTCCTGACAAATGCCCCGCTCGTCCAGGTCAGGATCATCCAGAAATCCATCCACTGAATACAGGTCCAGGACTTGCTGAGGAGGTGTCGGAAACTTCTTGTAAATGAGTCTGAGAACTCTCCGAAGCTTCAACAGGCGATTGCGCTGCACGACAAATTCGAACACACAGTCACCAGGTCTCCAATGAATCACCTGGGACTCTGAGAGTCCTTTCATTTGATTTTATTTTAAATCAAACTGGGAGTCTTAACTCTCAGCTAAAACTTAAAAGTTAAGACTATCTGCACTCACAAACAGGTTTGCAGTCAAAAAAAAAAAAACAGGTTTGCGCAACTTTGCGTTCAAGATTACGGTAGCCAAATTCTTGCCAAACGAGTTCATTTTTTTTTTTAGTAAATTACTAAGTAGTAAATTCATTATCTTTTTTTTTATTTAATTTGGACCATTTCTCAATTTATTTGTGTCATCCTTGGAAGCGCAGGGGCCATGCTAATCTTCATTCTCTGTATCGTTCCAATTTTAACAGATGTCCCGAGGGACAGTAAATTCATTATCTTGATTTTTTCATCGCACAAAAGCAATGCACATTGCACCACACATTTCACTGTAGGAGGGATTGTGAGGCAGGAGGAGGAAGCACGGAGAGTGTGGAAGCAAAAGCAGAATGAAGGGCGGAGGAGGGGGAGAAGGTGGTGGTGAAGGAGGAGGAGGCGAGTTTCAAATTGGTCGGTTGAGCTCCGTTCTTTGCCACCAAGTGCAACATTCCATGGGTACGTACTACGTACGCTTGATTGGAAAGTGTCCGACACATCTCTCTGCCAACAGCAGATTCCATACAACCTCAAGGGCAAGTGAAAACAGAGAAAAGTCGCATGAATGAATGCACCAAAAGAACAAACACCGAAAACAAAAGCGACCGCCTCAGCGAGCTGTGCACCGTGTGCGACACCGCAGAGGTGGAGAATGTTCGCCACTGCTTACTTGATTTCCCAAAGGACAACCAAATATGAGAAGCAACGAAAAGTCTCGGGCAATCCATCATCAACAAACCGCCGCCGAACGAGGAAGTCCTCAATTTAACATGATTCGCACCACCGAAAACATGGGCCGAGTACCAACTGGCCTTGCTCTGTTGGTACACCCTGCCTGAACTGTTGAAATATTGAAATACAGACCTGAGCTCGAACTCCACCGGAAGCAAATGAGTAAAAATTTTTTACAATTTGAATTACCTAGGGCCGGTCAGTCTGATGATGATATCTCAAGGCCGTCGCCCTTTTCTTCTTCTTCTTCTTCTTCTCCGTTTCTTTTTTGCTTTTAACCACCACTAACTTTCTCACATATGGGCCCACGGGCCTCAAAATTCAAATTCGGAGGCTGGGCGTCGCCAAAGAAAATTAATAATTATCAACAGCCGCCACGCAGCAATCTTTTCGGATGAGGCTCAACTTGCGACGTAGCGTCACAGTGAGAAAGGTATTGAATACTATTGGTCCTTTAACATAGGCCAAGTGGGAAGTCAGGCTATTTCAGAGACTGAAAGCACTAATGCCACTAACACTATGGATCATCTGGAAAAGCAGATGCCAAGAGACGAGCAATACAATACAGAGCCCGGCCCCACAAGCATGGCAACGACTCGTGCAAGCACTAGAGAACGGGTACATAACAGACTGAACTAAGACCAAAAGCGCGATCAAAGACAACCCGGAAAAGAAACAGGAAATCACAGATAAATTTGTGAAAGGCGTGTTAGGAGGAGGGGAAGATAGGAGCAGTAAATGAACAATAGTTACAATACATAAAGTTCAAATGGAGGGGAGACACCGCCACAAATCATACAACCAGGGGCAGAACACAGAGAGACCTCCTTCCAAAGCATACCCAAGTCCAACACCATGGGACTGGGTCCAGCCTGGAAGGGGGACAACAGATCAGCAGGGACAGGTGGACGACAGGGGGAAGGAGAGATGGTCCGGAGGGGAACAGAGATGTGCAGGGGCAGGAGGGGGAACACACCAGGCACCTCGAAGCTGGAGACTTCATTGACATATCGCACAAGGGTGTGCTGCGAATGAGCACATCGGCCTTCGTGAACAAGTCAGAAGGCGTCCGAAGACACAACAAGACAGGACCACATACAAGACCAGTAACATCCTTGGGTTTAGGAATTTAGCAGGAAGCCACCCATTGGTGGACTGAGAAGGAGAACATTGTGTTTTCGGACGGTTTCTTTGAAGGGACTTAGAAAGCAGGCGGGGGGGTCTGCAAAAAGCATGGGCCACGATGACAGTCGATCCTTCCTGCCGGAAGCAAAAAAGGTGGTCAGGGCTCCCCGGCTGTAATGGGCAGCAACCTTGGCGACGGCATAAGGACTACGGGGATGGAACATGGCAGTCTCGCTCTGGGGGGGAGGGGTCACCCGTACATCTCGGATGACCCGACTTGGTAGTACTTCACCTTGCGACCGGTCGTTCGGAGATGAGATCGGACGGCTTCCAGCAGTCGCAGGGCTCCGTGACGTGGGGAGGCATGGAAGGGTGACTTTTGTATTGACTTGCCAGTGGACAGGAACTGGACGGATGCTCCCCAGAATAGGAGGAGTATGGCCCGAAAGGACCTCTTTTGCAACAAAAAAAAAAGTTAAAAAGACCAATGTAATGACCTGCCAAACACGGACTGAGACGCACAGCTGATTTCTGAGTTTTGCTCATGGAATGTATGCCTTACTGAGTTTCCCGCTTGTTGCTGAGTTTTCTAAGTCTGTGTGCTTACCTGCCTGCTGGTCTGCATGCCTGTCTGAATGCTTGTCGGCTTGAGTGTGTGTGTGACCCGCAAGGGCACTTGGTTGATCGGAAGGCCGGAAGGGCCGGTACTTACCCAGTGGCCGTGACATCGAGGGTTGCAGCGGGGAATACACTCAAGTGGCGGGTAAAGAGGCCCGCGACACTTACAGCAGCAGAAAACACTCAAATAGCAAGTAGGGCGGTACCACACCAAGTAGAGGTAGATGTGCCGCGTACTCAAGGCCGAGCAGAAGAAGACAAAAGTTGGCATTTTTAGAGGCCCAATAGTTGTAGGCTAGGTCTAGGCGGGTACCAGTCCAACCAGTCTGTCAAAGGGAGTCTAGGGCCTGTACGGCAATATCAGAGTCTGCAATGATGTTTCCCTCCGAAAGGAAGGAGGTACCGGTTGCTTGGAGGCCGAACGGCCTAGGAAGTCACTCGCCAAGAGGCAAGCAGGCCGCTACATCTCCAGGAGGAGCAAGGTGCTCCTCCTCATTGTCGGTGTGCAAGTATGGCGACACACTGGTTGGAGCGCTGGCTGGAGCAGCGCTAGCTTGGAGAAGCGCTGCTGGGGAAGGAGCAACTACATGGGGAGAAGAAGACCAGGACCAGGAAGGGGGAGGGCCAGAGGTACTTACCTGCCTATGGCAGTTGCCATCTTCATCACCTTGGTGGGCGCTGCGGCAGGAAGGCCCCAGTTGGGGTAGAGCTACACCAAGAAGCTTTGAGACAGAGTCAGGCATGGCGGCCTGAGCTAGAGCAGCCATAGCTGCTTTGTGTTGTCCTTTGCACAGCAGGGCGATGCCCTGGTAATCCGCCATAGCCTCGGCCTTGGAGGAAGGCGGAAGAACGGCGGCCCCGGCTATGGTGGACCTCATGTGATACCTGCAGTCGAAGAGGGATTCGGACATTGATTCTGGTTCAGCCATTCAAAATTATTATTATTATTATTTCTTGATTGCATAAGAGGGGAGGAGATAAGGAGGACGAGAGTGGTTGACGAAGAAGAAGAGCATTATCATTGGTCTATGCTGGTGTACATCATCTTCTTCTTCTTCTTTCTTTCTTCTTCTTCTTCTTCTTCTTTCCCCTCTCTCTCCTCTCAAGTTCATTCATTTCTTTTTGCAATTGGACGGCATTGTACTTTCTGATGAATGTGTACTTCGAAATTGGACAGGATCATAACACCAAAAAAAAAAAGATAAAAACAAACACCGAAAAACGGAGGAAAGGCTGCAAGCCATTGATGCGAGGTAGGGGATTTTTTATGGGTTTTCAAAACCACCAGTACATCTGCCAGTGTTGGGAAATTACAATGTACTGGTCTGTCCCCGAAGAAATCGGTGGTGGGACCCAGGGTCGGCGCGTCCCATAAATCTCAGTTTTCTTTCGCCCGCGTGTGAAAGAAAAAGGGAAAAAAAAAAAAAAGTTTATGTACTGCAAAAAGTCTGCAATGATGTCGGGCAGGGTAGTCTAGGAGACCGTGCTAACAGTCTTCCTCTACAGAATGCATCCTAGAGCAAAGCCGGTCACATTCTGAAACTTGTTTTCTTTTTTTATTTCTCGTCTGTTTATTACGAGTCCCCTGCCAACGAGGCAGGGCGGAATCCGTGATCTGCGCTGGCTGTGTTTCCTCAGAGGATTGTAACCCTGATGTATCCAGCCATTTTCATGGCCGAATCCGTGTTTCCATTTCTTTTTTTTTTTTTTTCTGTTTCTGGAATCTGACAATCTGAATCCGTGATCTGCTCGGGCTGCGCTCCCTCAGAGGATTGTAACCCTCATCACACTGGCACTTAGAGGAACGTATCCAGCCATTTTCACGGCCGAATACGTGTTTCTGTTTTTGTTTTTTTTTTTGTGTGTGTGCTTTTGGAATCTGACAACCTGGCCACGGGGCTGAGATGCCCTCACTGAGGGCACACTCACACTACCACTTCCAAGAATGTATACAACTGCAATCACCGCCAGAGCATTGTTTCCTTTTCTTTTTTTGTGAGTTTCACGGCCGCAACTTTTCTTTTTTTTTTTCCTTTTTTTTTCCTCCCCGTGAGAGTACCATAAAGAAATGGAGTGGGACCCAGGCTCGGCAAACTCGGAGCACAGTGAAATTCAGGGTCGGCAAAAACAGGCTCGGAGGTATTGGTGGTTTAAGGGAAAGAACGGGGGGGGCAAATGAAATGATAACCTAATGCTTACTCCTTTGCTTACCGAGCAATTCTGGACAAATGGGAGAACATAATGAAGCACCTCCTCACACTGCTTCTCTGTCTGGTAGTCCCCCCGATTAGTGTTCTCATGCAGCACACAGCCATCACCGTTCTTTTCATCGGACGAACTCCTCAAGTTAAGCCCATACAAGCAGAAGAAGCATTGATCCAAAGCAGCATCAAGCGCAGTCTCAGCTGCTTTCCGCTCATCGTTTGCTTCATCCTCTGCAGTTCCTTGTGTTTCGATATCATCGTCAACACTGATGGGCGCCTTTACTCGGTCATTTGTCGTCTCATCTGGTGCATCAATGTCAATCACATCCACATTAGTTGTACCTGGTGATCCCCTATCCTGTTCCACCCCTGTAGCAATGGCAGTGTCTCCTCCCTCTCTTGCCTCCCTCCCCTGTGCATCTTCCTCCTCAAAGACGGATGCACACCTCACGGCACAACTCCTGTCCACAGCCTCTTCTCTCTCTTGAATGTGCTTTCTTCGCCGTTCCAGCAGAGGATCCGACGGCACAGAACCATTTTGGCTCTTCAACTTCATTTCTAATGCAGTCAGTTGATGAATTGCCATTCTAAGGAATGCGCCCTCGCCTCCATCGCTTCCCTTTCCGCTACAACAAAGTCCGCGGTCTGCCAGGAGCTCGTGCATCTTCATCAACAGATACACCTGTTCCATCCCATGAACAGAAACAAAAACAAATCAGATTCAGGTGAATCATGTCCGTACACACTTGTGTTTTGCATTGACGTGCGCACCAAACCAAGGAGTAATGTGTGAAAAGCCTTCTTGAAAGAAACCCACTGCGTTTCCAGCAAGCAAACAATGTTCGACATAACCTTGATGTGAGTCCCAGATAACCTCGTGTGTTTCAGACTGTCACTAGAACAAGCCCTTTTCCACCCAGGTGAGTAGATCCAAAAATTGAAACAGCCTTACTTTACAATCTTCTATCGAGCTATTGATAGTATAAAGTTACCATAAACGATTGTGGCATTTAGGAAATTGCAATGTTGTTAGGACGAAACGGCCGTTTCATTATTCCGAGAGGTGTTACTTCGGCGTGGAATGTGGCCCATTTACTTTTCAGCACACCTGCACCTTATATAGGTGGGTCTGGAAACTGGTTTCTTCCTATTTTCACTGGAGCGCCTGATACGGTCTTTCGACAATAAAACCATAGCACTTTTCTATGCTCATTCATATGCATTTAGTAGTTCTGCACAAGGGGAGGGAGGAGGAGAAAGGGAGGGAGGGAGGGAGGGAGGGAGGGAGAAAGGGAGGGAGGGGCTGTTATCACAGGGTACTGAATGCCCAGGGGACTGATGGAACAGAAGCCCAAAGGCTGGTGCTTTGCCAAATCGCAACGTCCACCGCATCCATGTAATTGAGAAAAAATGCCTGCAAGGCTGCAACACCCAGCAGCAAAAGGACACTTGCACTCTCCTACATAAGAAGTGTAAGAGGTGACAACGCCGACAAGGACAGAAACAGCTAAGTACCCGAAATCCGACGTTAACAGCTGCCTCAACAGTTAGCTTGGAACTGTAGGTTTGACTTTACATAAGAAGTGCAGGTTTGACTTTACATAAGAAGCGCAGGTTTGACTTTACGCCAAAGTTTTGACAGAGTGACAACGTGAATCCACAGCTTGCCGAATGCTGCAGAGTCTGTGCAGAGTCTGTGCAGAGTCTGTGCAGAGTCTGTGCATAGTCTGTGCAGAGTCTGTGCAGAGTCTGCAGACCCATCATGTGAGATCAAAAGCACTACTACCCAGAGCACACCTGAGGTTTACTGCATGGTCTGTCGTTATTTCCGTAGACACACACACAACATTGACTGCATGCTCACGTTTTACTCGTGAGTTTGTTATCGCGACCTGGTTTCTACTGTGCATGGTTAAAAAAGAGTGTGAAACACAAAAACAAGAGGTTATGTTGTTCTAGAAAAACATACACAAAAAGCAAATGGACTGCATAAGTTGCAGGGAACCTGACCCCAGAGAGTAGCACAGAATCAATTTCTCCCAAGTCTGAATCTGGTCTAGGGGTGAACCGGGCTCTGTAAGGGCCCTAGATTTGAACAGCAAAGCCCCGTAATCTGGAAAAGTTAAAGGTCCATGATGTTTGCAACCAATGTTAAGGTCGCTCAAGCTTTTTTAGGGCCCCAAACCCGTCTGAAAAAGAACCAGAGCGATAGAACTGGGGTGAAGTAGGCCAGCTTGACATGAAGGGCTTGGAAACAAGTTCTCCGGGCCTGGGAAAAAAACTAACAGTGAGGCCCCCGCTCGGGCGCAGAAGTCAAAAGTCTAAGACATCTCCACAAAGCAATTTCGCAACGGCTCAAAAGCATCCAACAGCCCAGCTGAAGTTTTTGGACGCATCCAGACAACAGCTGCATCCCAGCTGCTCATCGCAGTTGATCTCAGCTGTCCCTTGGAGTCCAGTCAGGCCAGTCAACGCAATAATTTCTTGCGGCCAATCCGCTCACGCCACATTCTGGCCCCAGTGGAGCTGTGTTCATTGCTGTCTCTTATACACATCTAGATGTGTATAAGAGACAGGAGAGAGAGAGAGAGAGAGAGAGAGAGAGAGAGAGAGAGAGAGAGAGGTGTTTAGGGCAAGAAGCCAGTGGTAGTAGTGAGAGAGACAAAGAGAGGAACCACATGACAGAGAACAGGCCTTGGGGAAGACGAAGCTTACCTGGTGAGTGGTGGCCATAGCCACATGAAGAAGAAGACCCCAGGAAGTTTCCAGCGCTCGTCACCCAAGTTTTATCCTGTTGACACTGACCTTCTGGAAGTGAAGAGGGAGACTGGGGTGAGCAAGAGGGAAGGACAGATAATCCCTGAGGAGATCAGGAGGCAGAAGTTCCCGTAGCCATTGTGGGGTGAGGTGGCCCTGAGGACTCCAAGGTCTGACCGTGAACCTCAAGGTGCCCTGGCAAGAGAGAGACGAGTTGATCGAATACTGGAGAGGGGGTAGAGTAGCCTTGGGGAGTGATACGAACGAATTGCCATAGCGGGTACAGTAACCTTGTTTTTTTTTTTAAAGTCTAAGGTGGCGAGAGGAGGTCTGTTTGAATCTGGAGTAGAAGTGGATCCTGAGACTGGACTCCCGAGGCTGGAGAACACAAACTCCTTTTGGTGTTAAGTTGTGTTCCAGTTCATTCTCCTTTGGTGTTGACGTGTCGTCATTTTCTGCTTTGCCGATTGATTGACACATGCTCATTTGCTGGTTTGCTGATTGATCGGTTTGAATCAAGTCTCGTCTTGATTAATTTTGCTTTGGCCGCGATTGAAGCTTATATTGAGTGGGCTTTTCACTGCAAAGTGATCAAACCAAGTAACTAAAATGCAGCTCAGTTCTTACACCCGTGAACTGTTGAAAGTTGAAACACAGACCAGAGTTCAAATTCCATTGAATCAGATGGATTCCAACAGGGCGGGGGGGGGGGGGGAGGAGAGAAGTAGTGTCCCGCCATAGTGGCGAAGGAATGAAGGCAAGTTCCGAAACAGAGATTTGCTAAGTGCTGCCTTGTCAGAAAAGAGAAGTAGACAGGGATCTCCTGAGCACATGGTGACACGTTAACAAGACTCACACACCAGAGTCACCAGACCCGTCTAGGCTTACCTGAACAGGCCTAATGCATCCCAACGATCAGCACCGGACTCAGAGTAGAGAGGCACCCAGTACTGTCTTTTTTTCCTTCTTTTTTTATCTTCAGTTTAGTTAGGAATTTCGAGTTCAGCACGAACAAAAGTTCTGTACTGAGTGCCCAGTGCATTTTTGCGCTGGGCCATTTTGGCCCTTAGTAACACGATACCACCCTTTAGCATGTGAAGGGAGGCCCAAGAAAAAATTTAGGCCTGCCGGTCGGCCCTTTTTTCACGGGCCGTTGCTCTTCAACGGTCAACGGCACAGATTGGGCTGCAACATCACACCCAGGTCGAGGCGTTCACTTTCGTCCCATGGAAAACAGGGAGTCACCCTTGACCCTTGTAGTGGTTGCTGTCGCAATGTCATCGTCCAGTCGCCATCGTCAACTCCATCGAGCCCAATTGCCATCATCACGTACTCCAGCGGCCATTGTTGTTTTTCTGCAAGCTGTCGCCTCCATCACGCCCACGGTCAGCTGAGAGAGAAGAGAGAGACCTTCCTTGTCTTCTCTGCCAGCTGTCCATCCCCTCTCCCCTCCTCCTTGGCCATCGTCATAGACGCGTGTCATTTGGATATACATACATTTTTTTTCTTCACTTCGCCATCCTCCCCCTCTTCGTCCTTCCTCCGATCAGCCTTCTCCCTCCTCCCGCATCCGTCGTCACCTCATCCTCCTCCCCGTCATCTCCTCGTCCTACTCCTCGCCACCATCTCCTCATCCTCCTCCACTTGGCCATCGACCGTTACCTCCTCCTCCTCCTTCCAGCCATCTCGACCTCCTCCTCTTCCTCCCAGCCATCTCGTACTCCTCCTTGCTCCACCTCTCCTCATTCCTCCTCCTCTCCTCCTTCCCCTCTCGTCCTTCCTCCTGCCGCATGACATTGAGTCCTTCCTTCACAACTGGTTAACGGGGACCCCCACTTTCAGCTCGTGAGTAACGGGTTGAAAACTGAAATACATGGATGCCACATGGCATGGAGCCTGCCACTTGCTGTTTGTTTTTTTTTTTTCTCCTTCTTGCCACATTGTCTTCCTCCTCGTTCATCCAGCATTCTTCTCCTTTCTCCCACCATTTTGTCCTTCCTCCTCCCTCCGTCGCCTGCTTCCTCTTCCTGCCGTTTACTTCCTCATCTTCCCGCCATCTCGTTTCTCCTACCGCCACCTCCTTTCTCCTCCTGCCATCACCTTCCTCCTCGGGACATCTCCTACTTCCTCCTTTCCCGCTGCTACTTCGACTTCTTCTTCCTCCTCCCCTTCCCCCCATCTTCTTCCCACATTTTAACCTTCCCCGCCCCTCCTCCCCCCCAAAGTCCCAGACTGCAAGGTCCCTGTTTTTCAAGTTCAAAGCTGGATTCTGCATGCTCTCAACAAGCACAGTACGGCCATGCCACCAAAAAAAAACGGGAAGAAAAATAGTTCTGGCCATTTTTTGGGCGGCCTGGGTATCACGGGCTGACCCCAGGCCCTGCGCCGGCCTGGCCCTGCGCCGGCCTGGCCCTGCTCGGTCGGGCTTGCCCATCCAGGCGACGAAATCGCCTAAAGAAAAAAATAAGTTCAAATGACAGGGGGAAGGAATATTTTGTCTTTCCAAGTGCACCAGCTGCGGGTGAGAGTAGGTGAAGCAGGTTCTGGTGCAGATCTTGAGGTTACCTTCTTCCCCCGAATACAATGTACGGTCAATATAGCTGTATCTAGACTGAAAGATGCCTCAAATACAGCTATAATGACCGTAGGTTCTATTTGGGTGAAGGAGGTAGTAGCAAACATTTAAATGAGAACTTTGAAGACCGAAGTGGAGAAGGGTTCTGTGTGAACAGCGCTTGGACATGCATCAGGGGGCCCTAAGAGATGTTGAAACCTTGTATCAAGGGCGCATTGTATTTGATTGAAGAAAAGAAAGAGGGTAGTGAAACGGAGGCAAGTGACAGCACCTGCTGATTGATGGATGCAGCTGGATCGAGATGTTGGATTCGGCAAAACGACACAACTGCATCTACTAAGGCAGCACTGTCCGTTTGTGCATCCATGTTCAATCCATGCCTAAGGAAGCCTCGCCGTGCCAGCGTTGGCGCGTTGTACAGTCTGTGTATGCAGGCAATCAACAGCTGTTGTAGGCGCCTCTTCGCAAGGGGTGGCAATTTCGTGATGTCAACATTCACCTACGATTTCACGAGTGCAATGCCACACACACACACACACACACACACACACACACACACACACACACACACACACACACACACGCGCACATACACACACACACACACGAACAAAGGCGACAATGATGAGTGAGGTTACTCCTACTGCCTTTTCAAAGCTTCCTGGCGAAAAACCTGCACCACCATCAGCATCTGCATACCACGTCCTGACATGACAACTATAGACCATCTGGTACATCCACTCGCACCTTGTAAACCAGGTAATGCAAACCTGTGCACATCATGCATACTGAACCGTCAGTTGACCATACAATCCTGCAAGATTGGTTTAAACGTTAAACTCTAAACATGTCAATCTATGTGTATGGACGTAGGAGCCGAATCCCCACAGCATGTCGCCGGCATGCCTGCCCATGTGATGCACAACTCGACGGCACCATCAACTCCGTGTTAATAAACTGACGGTCTGACAGATTAAACTTGCATTCTTTGAAAGGGGAAACAAGAGAGAGAGGAAAAAGAACAGACCCACAAATCGGCCCAAACACTGTGTTACAGATCAGGCATAAAGAAATGCATTCCACTCCAGCTGAGTACCAAATCACGCATAAAGAAATGCATTCCACTCCAGCTGAGTACCCCTTCTCTCCCGAACCTCACTCCATCCTCCAGGAGTCCTCAACGTAACACCCTGGGCTCGTACATCCGCAAATGGGAATGCACTGCCTATCCACAGAGGAAGAAAGCTAACAGCTGACTTTGAAAGTGTGGCCATGGCTCACGGGGATGCGTGCAGCTCATGCTCAACTTCATCAACATGGCAAGCCTTGTACAAAGGGGGGCTGAAAGAAGAAATGGTCAAGAGAACAGCTTCGGTGTGCGCCTCATGTTTGCCTTCTGTATTTTTATAGTTTGTTTCGCGCACTGCACTCTTTTCATTCGTAGATGTGACAATCCCGGCAGCTGGCACTCAAACTTCATCAACGTGCGAGCCTTGTACGTGAGAGGCACTGTGAAGGGGGAGTTAAAAGAAAGAATGAGAAAAATGAATGGTTTCAGTGTGCCCTTCATGTTTATCTTGTTTTTTTTTTTAACACCGTTTGTTCTCCCAAGTGCACTCTTTTAGTTCATAGATATATGACAATATAATATGTATTGAATAAAGGGCCAGGCTTCAGAACCTGCTTCAAGGGCTCCTTTTTTTTTTTTTTTACCTGTTCCTCCAATATGGCCTCTAATATGTGTGACTCATCCTCCAAGGCTTGGAAATGCGTCTTTGAGTTTCAAAACCCTAGCCACCGCACCTCCCTAACCTCCAGGAGAACCCTCACACGCAAGGTTGAGAAATTGAGGCAAATATAACCATCTATCATAAGAGTGACCTGTCACCCGTACTCAAAATTGGAGAACGAAGACGTCAAGATTTGGGACAACAGGTGTGAGGAGGTTCGCAGATGATCCCAAGGTTCAAAAACATCACAGGTTTGGAATACAGATGGCAAGGCGTATTCCGAGACGGCGCGGAAGTGGGCGGCGACGGTTTGTAGAGATCGCATGGCAGGCTCCGAGAAGGCACGGAACAACGTCCAGACATGGCCACAGATTCGATGACGGGCCCCGGTAAGAAGTCCACCTGTGCCGGTGTTTAGAAAACACTAGGTTCGGAGAAGAAAGCCTAGGTTCGGAGAACATGGCTTGGTTTGGGGAAGTGGCTCAGTGCAACACAAGGTCAGGAAGAGTGGAAGACTGTTTTCAGCAGGCAAGGCAGGTAGATTACAACCATGAAGTGAAGGTGCAAACATAGGCTGTGCGATCAAGGGGGGTCGAGGAGGGTAGGATATGGAAGGAGGGAAGGGCTGAGGTTAACGGATGGCAAAGGAGATGGAGAAAGGGTGGGAAGAGGCTCAGAGAAAGGATGGACAGGGAATTAGGACATGGACGGAGCACGGATTCAGAGAATGGATGAAGCACGGTGCAGAGACTTGAACAAGGGGCCGGTGGCGCGGGGGAGGATGTGCAGGGAGGGCGGGCTCCAGAGAAGTCGTGGAACCCCAAGGGTTCAAGGGCGGCAAGCGAGTAGTTTCCGAGAAGGGCTGGTGCAGAGGAGAGCAAGGCATCCGAGAAAGGGAGAGCAGAGAGGATTAACAACATGAGAGTAGGTTTGACAAGGCTGCGCCACCCAGGGACAGAAGCAGCAACAGCTACATTAGGTGTGTTAGATAGGTTGTGAGTACACTTTTACAGCAGGTCATACTACATCATAGTATATACATATATATCACTTAGCATATCAATCGAGTCGTCACAATACCTGCACACAATCGAGTATTTGCAGTATGCCAACAGACAAGGTAGCCATTGTTTGGACGCTCATAGCGGTATAATAGATAGGGGCGTGCTCTTGTACGCATGTTGGAATACCCAGCCCCTGTGATGCATGAGGCTATTGACAAACAGATCACTACCGGTAGTTCAAATCCCACCCGCTGGATACGAGAGCAATAGGGAGTAACACCCTTTCAAAAGAAAAAAAAGAAGGACAGGGGTACAATCATACGATGTTTGAGATAGGTTGGCGGTATGCGATCCATTTGCAGAGGGGGGTACAGGTGATCCACATGGGCTGTACGGATCAAATGGGGTTCGATGCCTATGTGTGGGTTCCAGTACCAATGCGGCCCATGCCCAATGCCTCTGGAGATGTATCACTCCAGATGACGACATCGCCTCAAGACTTCAGCAGCCGTGACTTTCACAGAAGGCCTCTCCGGCCGCGTGTCATGGAGCGACTGCAGCATGACACCAACACGTCCACACTTCAACTTTCACCTTGTACATCAACTCAGGAGGTATGCATGGCGCAGCTAATGGTAAGGTGGAGCTTTAGTTAGTATAGTACCGTATCTCAAAGTTTGAAGACAAAACTCACTTTACTCTCACTTTTGTCGTTCGCCAGGTCTTTGATCCTCACCAAGCACCTTGATAGTGCCTTCAGCTCTTCAGCAATCTGCTTGCTTCCTTCCCTGGGCCAGCGTCTCCCACCCTCCCCCCTCTCACTCCCCCTTTTCCGTTCAACTGCCACTAAGTCCCCATACCGATCACATTCAATCCAGCCAGCCGCACTGCACACCAGAGTCAGAATTTCAATGTGTGTATGAAGGGCTGTTGTCAAGCCATCAGTTCCAGCCTTTTCACATGCTGACAAAAGAACTCTCAGCGCATTGAGTCGTCGTGCGTTTCCTCCTTGCTCAACCCCCCAGCTACCGGGAGACGTGCATGGTGAGGTATACGACGAACACGCTCCTCCGGTCCCATCGTCTTCAGCATTCGCCTTTTCGTCTCCTCCCCCCTTGCTTGTGCATCCCAGCAAAGCAGGTGCGAGTTGAGCAACCACTTCCGTCGCCATTGACTGGTCTTTCATGTGGTCATCTTCAATCTTTGAAGTTGCAAGAAACACCATCCAGTCCAGCTCCACCTCTCTCAACTTCTTCGTCACTAAATCTTTTGAGATGTATCGTTCTGCCAGCCACTTTGGCAAACAAACCACATCCCGATGAACCCCATTCTCTCTGCCAACCTCGCACTCTTCCATGAGCTTGAAACACCTTGCAAGCTCGCAATACGCTTTGTCGCGATTACCCTGCCACAGGAAAAACCTCCCCAGGAACCAATGCATTCGTATCCAGAACCGCTGTCCCTTTCCCAAACAGGCCGCTTCTGCGCAGCCCTCCGGTTTCCCTGCCTGGTTATCGGCTTCTTCTTTCATGGCAGCTGACACACCCAACACCTTATCATCTTCTCCACAAGCCTCTCTGTTTCTTGTTCCATTGCCGGGTGCTCCATTTTTCTGTCCTGGGAAGCACATCAACTTGGGCTGTATTCCACGTCCTCCACCATCAACTTCAGTTGATCCCTCTCCTGGATGGGATCTGCTTCTCTTCTTCACTTCGAATGGCGTGCCCTCCCCATCCTCCTCTACCACTCTCTTTTTCGCCCCCTTCCTCGGCGACTTCTCGCCAAAATCCCCACTACCTGCAATCCCGCAAACTACACCATCGATCACTTCCTGTACATAAAACTCACATGCCCAACTCCACTCCTTACTCTGGTCTGCCCCTGGGAGCCGCATCAGCGCCTCAAGATACAGCTCCCCCATCAAAAGTGAGCAATTCTGACTCAGACAGCCCAACCTCTCACGCAACATCTGTTCAACAATGAGCAAGCTCTCGAATGCTCCTTTCTCCCATATGCTACCCACACCCCCAATCTGATAGAGCTTTCGCACTAGCCTCTGTCCAATATCAAGAACGCCATTGTTACCCTTTGCATGCTCCACAAACTCCTTTATCTGTGTGGCTTCCGCTTTGGCCTGTTGACTCTGCCTATTTTCCAACTTCGCCCTCTCATCAACTTCACCATCAGTCCGCCCATCCCCTCCACCATAACCCTCCTTGCCCCCCTTCCCCACCCCCCCCTGCTGGCCACCAGAGTCCGCACCCCCACAGAGAGCAGGAACAATAAACTCTGCCAGCACACTTCGCACATCCCTGGGCCCGCCCATCACCACGTCTTGATTTCCTCGTCCTCCTTCCTCTCTCATCATCGAGCGAGACCTGGGCCGCAATGCTCGTACCATACGCTTTCCAAGTTCTTCGTCACGGACCGACCCTGCGCACGTCCCAATCATAACACCCTCTCTCTGTAACTCCGCATCTTCTTCCACTCCCCCACCTGCGTCCTCCTGTCCCACTCTTTTCCTGCCTTCCTCTCTAGCCCTTTTCTCTTCTACTCTTTGCTTTCCGCCATCACCGCACTCCGCGACACACAGGACATCTTTGTCGCAGCCCCCCCCCATCGGGCTGCTGCTTCCCCCCGGCGACCCCTTTCCTCCCTCCTTCATCCCTCCCTCCTTCATCCCTGCCTCCTGGCACACTTCATTCCGAGCCCCATCGGTCAGCTTCCCACTTTCAGATGCTTCATTCACCGGAAACTTCTGCCCTCTGAAAGTAAAGACGACCTGTGCGATCAAGGGCAATAATCCTGCCTGATTTTTTACATCGCCCTGACCTCCCGGCGCATTGTCACCCTCTCCTCCAAGCCCACCCGCGCAGGTCATCCTTACCAACTTCCCCACGGCTTCAATCAGTTCCACCCACGTCAACTCCTGCATGTTGCAGGGCAATACTTGCGGCGAAGGCTCGCTGTCCACAGGTCCCGCACTTTGATCCTCACCTGCCTTTTTCTGCAATGGCAGGTGTTCATGCTCCTCGCTTCCGCGTCCATCACCGGTGCCGTCAACTCTCCGTCTTTTCGCACCGGGCAAATCAATCTCGAGAAGATCAAACGGGTCCGGGGAGATTCTAGGCCGACCACAGACCTTCTGTACCGTAGCTGCTTGATGGATGCCATCCTCGTTGCTTTCCTTGTGTTTGATTCCTTTCACCGACTGTAGCACTTCAGATGCTCGGGAGTGAGGACCGCACCGTAGCATGCGCTTTGCTAGCCTCCTGCATGCCCTCTCGTCGCGGATGGCAACCAAAACCTCCAATAACTTCTCCATACAGCCCCCTGTTCAACGAAAAAATCGCCCCGCCCCATCTGGTCAGTACATCACCTCCCCATGGTGCTAGTGCCTCCATACAGCCCGCTGTTCAAAGAAAAATTGCCCCGCCCATCTGGTCAGTATGGTGCTAGTGCCCCTGACCTACACTGATGGACAAATCGCTGACTTGCTGCAATAGCTTCTAGATCAACAGCAGAAATAGCCAATCTTCCTCGTCAACCTATATAAGCCCCAGTCCACCAGGACTTGTGTGTCACCATCTTCAAAGCACAAGTATGACCAGCAGCAGCGGCAGAGTAGTTACCACAGCGGGAGGAGCTGGGGATGTAGAGAGCGTAAAGTAGAGAGCAGAACGCGAGGGAAGTGTCAGGCATGAAAAGACACTGATGGGGCAAGATTACTAAACACCGAAGAAGGGAGGGGCAAGAGAGCAAATGCCATCACAGTGCAGGAACAGCATTTTTGTTGGTAATAGAAGCTGGAGCAATACGAGAGGAGGAGAGGGGAGAAAAGGAGAGAGGAGGAGGAAATCAAATGATACAGGGAACAGGGGAGGATGGGGGATGTGACTGCATGCTAAAGATGACAGAACATGGAGATGATGGAGGGAAGGCGTAAGACAAGGGGCGTGGGTAAGGGGAGGGTGAAGATCAAGCACGCATTTGGTTGTTTGCTTTTGCTCGTTCATTTGTTTACTCAGAGAAGGGGGAGTTATTGTGAGACACTTCCCTCCCCCTCCTCCCCCCTATAAAGCCCTTAGTTATTGTGAGACACTTCCCTCCCCCTCATCCCCCCTTAAAAAGCCCTTTCAAATTCAAACCATACACAAACGCAACACAGTCATGAACTCTGAACCTGGACGTAAAATGGCTCACAATCTGTACACATTGCTGACCAGACCTCCCCCTTGACTAGCGCCATCAGTGGCAGTTCGACTGAAACGCACGAGGAACGAATGCAGAAGCCAGCGGGAAGGATACCAGAAGCAGCACATCCAGACCTTGCCTTTGGCTAGCGCCAGCAGCCCAGAGGTGTCAATAGTCAACTTACTACTCCAAGTTTTTTTTTGCTTGCCCGCATCGTGAACAGGTCTTTGATCAATTTATGATAGAAAAGCAGGAGGCAAAAGAAGCAGGCGAAACAATCGTTGATCTTCACAAGTTCACATTTTCTTTTTTCTTTTTTTCTTTTTTACAATGGTCCTTTGTTTGGCTCTGAACCACAAGATAAGATTATGTCCGTCCAATTACTTAAACCACTTGTACCTTTGGCGTCCGGTTTCGACAAGTTTTTGCCAGCTCCCGAACTTTTAGGAGGCCGGGCCCGACAACGGCTGATGTTGATAAATCTGATCGGCTGCCGTCGTTTCGTTTCGGCCCCCTGAAAGGTCGGAGGCCTGCTATTTTTCAAACCGAAAAAGGTACTAGTGGTTCAAAAAAAAAAAAAAAAAAAAAAAAACAGATCCTTATGGTCCTGGCTGCATATCCATTCTGGGGAGCGTCATGTCCGTCCAATTCCTGATGGAGAATATTCTCCAGCAAAATATGTGTATGTACTATGTACTATGTAGTATGTATTACAGATTATTTGTCAACGAATTGTTTGGTTTCCCTTTCTTTTTCCTTGGTTCATCTCAACGATGAAAGAAAGCATTCCGATTCTCTGCTCGACAAAATATGTGTATGTTGGAGAGTGCGATGATCAAAATTGGAGGTGGTAAACACAAACAAGATTTAAAAAAAAAAAAAAAAAAAAGGACTCTTACAGTGATGGGGACTGCAGGCCAATCCTTCTTCAAATGCATTTCTTGCTAGACTTAGTAAACTGAGACGCCACGTTAAGATTCCCAGTCGGTGCCATACAACAACATCCTGCCTGTAGATTCTGACTGCCTCCAGATAGCACAGCAGCGCATCATGCTCGGACTTTCGACCATCGCCCTTCTTGATAAGGACTTCAGCCAGATTTTTGAATGCCAGGAACCTAAGCCAGGATCAAGAACAATCACCCAAACCAGGACCAGAAACAGACCCAAATGAGGACCAGAAACAATGGCACAAACTTGGAGAAGAAACGATCACACACGGGTTTTGCCAAAAAAACACAGAGCATTTCACTATCCCAAACGCTAAACTCGAGTTGCATCAATAAAAAACATGACAGGTTCTTGTCTTCTCTAACAACTCAACATGTCTCCATCTTCCCCCGAACCTAGCCCACCCTGATGACCAGCTACACTTTTTTTTCATTTCCCGCATTGCCTTATCGCCGAAGGAAAATAGTCAACCTCAGAGTGTGACGCCCACAGGAAGAAGGTAGGTGAGCGGGGAGGCTACTGGCACTCTCTCTCCCCTCCTCTTCCCCTACTTTATCCTCCTCTTTGTCCTCCTCCTCCTCCTCTCTTCCACCCTCTTCCACCTTTGTCTATCCTCTGCCGTCATGCCAATACCCCATCCTTCTCCTTCGCGTCTCTCCCACATGTCTCCTCTCCCCCCACCTCCTCTCAGTATCAGGAGAAAACCAAGTCTAGATTCAAAATTTAAAAATGTACTCCTACTCCTGTGCCGCCAGCCCCCTTCCTTCTCCACCATACGATTCACCTTGCTCCTTGTCCTGAGCACACAGCTTGTGCCGCTTTACTTCTCAAATGTTTTCGCTCATCTCCGAAGCAATACACCGCACGCCTGTCCGCCTAATCTGCAAAAATTGGCAGATGGGCACGCACACACTCAACGCAATTGTTGGAGAAGCAAATGGGGAGCATGTGCACCCACCCAACACCCAATGGTTTTCAATGCCACAGCACATTTGATCTTCTACGAGGAAAATGTCACCTGATGCCTTCTGCTTCTGCTTCTGATGAACACACGATCCTCACCCATCGTCCCTCAGTGGCGCAACATCGACAGCCCAATCGCATGTTGATCATTTGCGGGATTATCAGCATCACATTGGAATGCCAACCCACACCTAATGCGACTGAGCTGGGTTGGGGAAAACCAGTGCCAACTGGCACAGGGACCCCTGGGCAGTGGCCAAATTATTGCTGCGGCGAACGTGAATGTTGGATTTCATCCTGTGTCCGGTCCTGTCCTGACACTGTGTTTCCCTTGAGATCTGCGTTCCAGCACTGAGACGTTCACATTCCAGCCCTCAGATCTCAAGGGGAAGATCTCTCTCTCTCTCTCTCTCTCTCTCTCTCTCTCTCTCTCTCTCTCTCTCTCTCTCTCTCTCTCTCTCTGAGGTCAGGACACAGGTAGAGAGCAGTGATAGGATCATAAAGGGAGACAGTATTAATATAGCATCAAGATGTGGGGATCACAGTCGGGATGGGGGCCAGATCATGCACGATAACAAGTCGGGATGAAGGGAAGACAGTTCCAATAAGGTCGCGATAGGATGATCTGCCAGATGCAGGGAAGAATGGCCATAATTTTCTTTGGGGGAGAGAAATTGGAAAAGAAACTGGGATCTTGGAGGCGCGAAAGCCTCCTTACGAAATCAATAGAGAGACCGAGAATCACAGTCTGTACTTCATCAGCCACAGGATCTCCTCCATGCACGCACGGATTCGAACCGGCGCCCTCAGCCTCAAGAGCTGAGTCTCTTAACCACTACAGCCATGACACGGTGTACAAAAGTGGATCCATGCCGGTCATGATATCCACCCCACCCCAGCAAGGCTGTAGTGTCCTTCAACTCACACACACACACACACACACACACACACAACACACCACACAAGGCATCCGCCACACAGGCAGTAGTCGCACACTCCCCTCTCATCCAGCACAACTGCTTATCCAACAGTTTTATCCACGGGCCACCACATCCAGGTATAATTTCCGGGCTGGTTACCCGGTTGAAGTACAGT